GAAAGAGAACACTAAAAATCCCTCTACAGAATTTCGTGTGATAGTACTGTCAGTAATTTGTTCCTTCTCCCTGTCGTGTATTTTAACTTTTATTCAGATCTCTTTTGACCACACTTTATGTCCTTCAGTCTTTCTCGTCTGAGCTTTTATTATGTGATTTCGATTGAAGACTTACCTTTTTGTTACCTAATGTTATATTGCATGCTGACGGACTATTGACAGTAAGGTCGTGTTTGACTAAGCTCAAGGTCATGGCGTGGTTCAGTGTGTGACTGTTAACATTTTGACTGCCTGCTTGGAAGGATTGCTGCAATCCCTGCAGATAAATATTTAGTCCCATCTTGTTGGGAGTATTTTTGTTGATTCTCAGGTATCAAACCCTTTGGTATTAACTGTTTCTTTTATTGTTTAGCACGCTACTTCGCGTTAGAGAAACTTCTGATTGTATAGCACAGGCTGTACCGTTTGAGGTATTTTGTATTTTTGATATAATTTGTTCTATTTCATTAATTAGAACGGTTTAAATTGAGCACTGAGTTTGTGTTTTAATATAAATTATTACGAGTATCTCAAAAACGCTTCGTACGCTATAAAGAACGTAGTTCGGCCTATTCGAATAAATTTTGGTTCGTCACTTCTGCGTTCAAACGGAATACTGGCAGTTCGGTCGTGACAGTATCCTTAAAGATCTTCATAGTGGACATGTTCTAAGAAAATGAAGACCTTGCCAAAGCCCAGTTGTTGGTGCCCGAGATAAATGCACCAAACAATTGTGAGAAATGTTACAAGTCAAAAAATCATTCTTTGGAGTGAATTTCATGGCGAGTATTGGTGACTGACAATGGTTTTCATTTTTGGCAGGCACAGTCACTATCTGGTTGAATAGTATGGGGTTCAGACATTTTTTCATTGTTATCAGACACCCTTTTTCTAATAATAATAATAATATATTTCTGCATGTGCAGGTACACACCGTTTTTACAGGGATGATCTGTAAATTACAACATTTTTTGGTTCTCAAAATGCTTCCCAACTTATTAGGTTTATAGTTGTTATAAAGTGAAATCGTAGAGCGCTTGCTGTAAACTATGACCTTGAGAGGACGCGTACGTCAAGTTTTCTGCAAACGTCAGAAGTTTCATAGCTGTGCTCTCAGAGCAAGATTCTGAAAAAGAAAAAAAAGAAACAGAAGAGCAGCAAGGCACTTGGATATGAACGCCAAAGGTTGCTTAACATTGTGTAGTAGTACGGACAAAGGTAGAATAAATCAGAGTAAATTCATATTTTGTATTGTTAGAGTGAAGTGAAGTCCGAGGCTCCATATTAGAGAATGTACTAATAAAGAACAATGAGTTGTGATATTTAACAAGTTGGAGTAAGCTCACATGAAGGGAAGGAAGTCAAGGTTGGTACAAGGGAAGCGGTTTATTAGAAGGGTGTGTATATAGAGGGTATAGTGTTAAGAATACTAGTGACTATATCTTTTATTGTCTTTTTTTTCTGTCCATCCGATGTCGGCCACGCAATCCTAGTGTAAAAGTCCGAGTTAGCATGTTATAGGTTGTCTTAGTAGAATAGCTAATCCAGGATAATATTGGAAACATGAGTCTGAGTGGTGAGCGTAGGAAGACAATCTATATCTCAGATTGACTGTCTTATTCTCAATTATAAAGATCAGGTAAAAAATTTCTTCAGGATACTGAAACTACTTTTGATTCGATTGTTGTTTCAACACTTGATGAACTGGAGAGGGGAGTAAACACACTTCTATTGCCAGACAGACATGCCAAATATTCTGTCAGTTATTGAAAACAAGGATTCTATATTAGAATATGGGGTGTTTAGAATCTGAAGAGGTTACATATTATTGTGGAGACGATCTTCGACCAGTCGCGGGGATTGTAATGAAGATTGTTTGAAAATTTACGGTTCGAAATCTAGATATCAATGGTTGTGGCATATACAACCTACATGTTGATTAAGTAAAATTTCAGGACCGGGTGAGTCTGTTCCGATTTTGATTGTTGATTCTGATAGTAATGAGTACATTTCAGATAATACAGAGCCTACATCCAATACACAATTGGACAGATATTATCAACCTAAGAATAAGAGGTAAAATCGATCACAGAAATTTAGACTCCAATTTATACCGTGGTGGTTGTGATATTTGTACTAATTGACAATTCCTTTGTACTTGTTTACGAATTCAAAATATTATACCTTTATTTGTGCCTATCTAGTTCTTCCTGCATTGAGATTCAGTATTTCGGAAATTCTTAGTCGGCATATTAATTCGAATACTTATAATTATCATAATTACTCCTGATATTCCTTGTCGAGTCACTTTCTGTACACGCTGTAGTTATATAACAGCGCTTTTTTGTGTCTAACATAGTTGTGAAGCTGAGTAGTGCGACGCTTTGATATTGTATTATGTCACACTAAATTCTCTTGTATATAGAATTGCTTCCGTCACAATTATTCGTGATCTGTTTCATTTGGCTGCAGAATGTACACTGCTTAGCATTGTAAACTGCAATATTCTCTGTTCAACCATATCCGTCATGTGATTAGTCTAACAGGTTGCCCGAATATATGGACCGCTTGGACTTAACGATGATATTGACGAAAAATTATGGTTGCATTTGAAGTCTGGGGATGCGAATGGCTTCGTCTTTGATTTGCTCTGAAGCCATTTTGAAGGCAGGTTCAAGTCAAACTTGATCTATTTCAGGTTATGACTTTCTGGATAAGATAAAATAAGACAGTGCTGATTTCGATGTACCTTAAAGCTGCTCCTGAAGATGTTTGGATAAGCCAGCAGTGCTTGGTAGGAAAACTATACCTCAACTCAGGTAGATCAGGAGTGACGTAAGAAATATTAGCTGACCATTTATACGAGGAAGAACTGTTCATATAGGGTTCGTTTCGTGATCGATGGACGACGGCTGACCGGGCGCCTTGAAACATTTATAGCCGCTGACATTTACAAAGTCAGTAGCGACTTCGAAATCTTCGACTAACCAGTACAAACGCTTTCCGATTGACTCACAGCATTTCTCAGCTGATTAGAAGGTACTCTTAGAATATTCAAGGGGCTCTGATAGGCGATATGCAGACGTTGACTCCTGATTATCTTCGTACTTCGAAATGTCTTGAGCTGACTGCTCACCAGATTATGAACCGTTCACAAAATACGTAACAATGTTAATGACTCACTTTCAGTCACTGAACAGTTACATCGTTAGGAATAATTCTGCATGATGGGCATGATACGTTTTTTTAGCCATAAAGTGAAAACTATATGTTATTCGCATTCTTCAGAGAAACAATGCCATTATTGATTCATGAGAGAAATAAAACCAGAGAAACTGTGGTTTTCTGAAAAAATGGAGTCTTTGAACACCATGTTCAATGATTTGTCGAGAAGTAACCTGTGCCGGGGACTACACAAGGGTCGGTTTACCTAGGAGTTTTGAAATTAAAGTCTGTGTAGCTGCGAAGAATGGGTAGAGGTGCTGTGATAGTGTACGACACTTCTTACGACCTCTATCTCAATAGACCATTTACACACCACAACCCTTTACATGGTTTAACGAACCAATACCTCAGAGTTGATGGTGATATTGTCGACACCTCAGTACGAGCAAATAATTTAACTACTGGGCTCGGTAGGCTGCGGAAATTATGAACAGGGAAATGCGTGTTGGGATTGGAGAGAAATTCTTTAGGTGGAGACTGAAGACCTTATACAGGACCGATTTCATCTGAAGGAGACTTAAGATGCTCTCTAATTGCAATGGCGAAATTTGAGCCCATGTGGTCAGATGTGCCTGGTGACGAAGGACTAAAATGAGCTATTTTTCGTGTCCTTTTTTTCGCAGGATGGATGTGGTTGAATCATTAACCAACGTAATCCACTGTTGATGTCACAGAGCTAACACTCCAACCCGTCTGTTAAAAGATATTACAGAATTGTTGCCATCTGCCTTAGAGTCCAACAACATCTTGAATGACTTCCTGTTCAAGGGAGTGAACTTTTGACGACATAGATATCTTTTGATGAGGCTGTGAGGCAGGCTATTTTTATAGGTGACGAACGTTCTATGAGTTTTTGCAAAAAGTTTCTTTCATTGAACATAATGAAGTGTCCCGATCCTGCTTATGAATGCAATTACTAAGTCCCTCTTTGGCTGAAGTAGTACTGCCATTGTAATCCAACAATCGCTCTTTTTGGCTTGATCTCGTCCGAGACGTTTCTATGTTTGATTCGTTGTCCAAGGAATCGAAGAATACAATTTTACTTTCCGATTTTCCGATTCCTGTCTATTTGATGTCAAATTTTCTGTTAATCAGTTGATGAGTATTTGTGAGTTCATCAATCTTGAGGAAACCAAATGTATTATCTGCTAAACTGTTCGTTACGTTTGGTTTGACTTACAGTAAATCACGTCTTGGAATGTTGTATTAATGTTCCTGATGAGAGTCTTGATGTGTAGTGTGGTGTCGAGTCGCGGTTGAAAATGGTCATCACTCCAGGAAGACTACGCGCCAGTTAACCGATAAGATACTCGTAAGCCAAATATCAGATGGCTGTAGTCGAGTCGTGTTTGTTGGCGATCTCGCGGTATCGAAAGAATACCGAGATCGTGCTAGTTTACAAGTGTGATTACTGAGCGTAACCGAATTCGCGCAAGGCCACAATCAACGGAAGAATGTAAGTGTTTTATTACAGTTAAACAAACTTGTACGCCAAAACAATCCCTGGTGCAATTGGTTATAATAATTGTTTTCATTACACCAATCGCGTTCACTTGATAAAAGCAGGTCACTGCAGATGTAATAAACCTTACTACCGATGGAAGTCGATATTTTTTAATAGCACATATTACTTGCTTAATTCTCATTAGTTTTTTACGTTTAAAACTTTAATAGCCTCTAAGTCTCGTTTTAGTCAACATTGTCGCTTTTGTTTGAGTTCTTCATTTTACAATGAACTCGACTCAGCGTCAAAATGAAATTTCATCGGTTACGGAACTTACTGATGATCTTTTCACATGACGAAACAAGATTCTTCACATACTATAAACCTGTCCCTTATATACTTCTAAGATGTTAAACACTTCCTCAAGTGAAGATGATGAATACGTTGGCTCGTCAGGGAATTTTGGTGATGATGATCAGAATGTGGCCTGGTTGCACTATGAGGACAGGAAGTAAGTATCATTTCTTTTAGCTCAGCTTGTGTTAAGTAAAGGCTTTGTGGAACCATGTGTTTTGACATGTCATTGGAATTTTACTTTCACGTTAAACTTCGTATAGTTAAAGTGATTTACATGTGTGGTTTTATTTAACTGACTTCAGTCTTTCGTAAATTGCTACTCATGTTTAATTTATATCTGATAACAAGTTTTCATAGTTTTTTTACGATACACATGGTCATGTATTTTACGGTCACTTGCTGAATTTATCAATTTGAATATTATATCACTAAACCATTTTATTTTTTGTCATTGAAATTTTTTGTGTTTCACAGTTAAAGTTATCGTATTATGAATTGAGCGTTTCGACAATCAGCAATAAAATTCGCTCTCTTATCGTATGCATATATTGAGCTTTCGATGGACTTTATGAAGTTTAAACTCCAGATGATTTTCAGTGATAGCATTTCGAAGTTAAGGAGCTTATATTAAAGAACTATTCATGTAACATCACAGTCTCTTTGAAACGTACAACTAACTAGATATTACTCTGGAAGGGAGGTTACATCGCAGGTTTTACATGTGCGTCTATCACCAATCTTAAACGAGAATCATAACGAAATTTCCCCGCTCTACATCAGGCAAAATTCCAAGTTTGTTGTAAAATAGCGGTAAAATGTCCAATCATCCAGAATTTTGCATTAAAAGTCTGAAAGACTAACTTCTTGGTGCTCTAAGTTCAGTCATCTTTGCGGATGGCCTCTTTGGGAATTGCACACGAAACCGAAATTTCTGAGCTCGAGTCCCTCATGCGGGGTCGTAGAAGCGCAGTCCTGAGTGGTCTCACACTAAGATGACACAACCATGCAGTGCTTCCAGACTTTTGATAGTGGTGTGACACTGAACGGTTCTTGAACTCGTCTAAAAATCAACGATCTCCACAACCATATACTGATATTTGTGATCTATCGATTATTTTTGGCAACGTTTTAGAACCTGATTTCTAAAAATTGTTTAAATACCATGAATTTTTCAGGTCACACGGTATTTAAACTGAATTCAGCTTGTTCGTTAATCACAGAGTTTGCTTTAAAATTATTCATATGTGGTGAAACTCTGTCTCAACAGATTGGTCAAACTTTATTATTTATTTTTGACTTGTGTGTTGTTGAGTATAACATTCGAATGTTTCTAAATCTTTCCGTCTTTCTCTCGAGATCACCGTTATAATCCAAGTTCTTAATGTGAAATATTGCCTTCTCACCGGTGCACCAAGTATTTTAAAATCAACGGTGTCAGCTTGTCTATACTCATTAAGAAATGAAGACACAAGACAGGGTTTAATTTCACTGGTAAAGAAAGACATAACAAGCCACTTTAAAAACTGTTTATAAAGGTCGAAATACACAAGAAACATTTTGTTTTGTTTGGGTAATTTCAAACAAAGCGACATTGACTTCAACCATTTGCAGATAAAAATAACTGAGAACGACCGACCCCGGGTCATCTTTTCCTAGGATTCAATGAGTGTTACCATATAAAATTTTCCAAAAAATTCTTTTTACCCCTCTCATTACTAAAATTATAAGTTTCATATTTAAAATCGAAAATGTTACCAATAGAATGCCGGATACCAATAAAATTATCTGTCACTGGGTCTTTTGGGAGCTCATTAAACTGTTTTTCATAAATGTTGAACTAAACGTATTCAGGACTTAATCAGAGGTAAACACTCATGAGTGGTCTTCATTGGCCATAAGTTACTGAAATTTTATCCGTTTTGATGCTAACAACTGAATTCTAGATAACGTAGTTGACTTCATAAAGATCAACAAACTTGAAATTGATGGTTTTTTAGGGATTAATAGTTGATTATTGTAAAAGTTTTATTCGAACCATCATAAACAATTGTGACGTTTGCCACATGATCAAGTGAATTTTTTGATGTCATGAATTTATCAATAACTTTCACAATGTGATTATCATTTTATTAGCCGATAAGCAACAAATGGCATTTGAACAGTTTGGGTAGGAATCTAGATCTAAAGAGTCAGTAAGTAAATTAGAGATGATCTGGCACCTGTCAATTGGTAGGTGTATCTACGGTAAATAGTTTACTGGACGAAACATGGAGCATAATTTGTTTTTGTGAAGACAAAGATCTAGGACAAAGGATTTCCAAAATACCCTGCAACCAAGTATTTAACATTTGTTCTGTATAATTTTAAGTAGCTTAGAGTTTTCATGTTTTTAAGACTCCTTCGATTGGTTAGAAGTTTTAGAATGTACTGTTTTCATGAATCTTAAAACAGGTCTGACTTTTATCATATTTTATTCCCCGAAAGAAATCGTTTATAATTACAGTTAATGAAAAGAAGATTTTAAACCGAATTCCGTATTGGTTTTTGAAAAGCATGTCATCGAGTTGTACTGGCACATAATTACTGGTTCTGAATTGTGCAAACAATTTAATTCGGTAAAAGACTGAGGCTTACAATTTGGATAGACATGCCCCTTAAAAGTAGAATAGAAATGTTCAGATGAATTTTAAACAAACAGATAACATTAAATTTTGGTAGCGTTAAAGTCGTAGATATACGCCACTCATAAAACATCTCATTTGTTATTAGCATAGGGGATTCATGGAGATTGCTGAATTTGATAGTTTACATTACAGTCTGATCTTACTTAGACAACGATTGATGGCAGAGAGGACTGGATATTTGTTTCGTCCCCAAATAAGAAGAGCTAGCAGCTGAATTCTAACTCATTGATCAAAGGTTGAGTGCTTATCTTGAAAATTGAATATATTGGGTTCGATCTCTTAGGTGATCGTGATAAATATTTTGAGGGGTCCTATATTAAGGCGAAGCAATCGTTCAGTGCATTCCGGATTTCACTGGTGGTTTAACTAGGTTTGATTCGTAATGTAAACCACCAAATTAACTTATTATTAGCTCATGATTAAGTAACAGCCACTATTCATCTGAGATTGGAAAGAGTAAGAAGTAATAATATGCACAAATTATAGGTATATATACGACTATCTTTCTGACCTAAAAAATAGTTGTCTCATAATATACTCTTTCCAGTAATTTGTTTGATTTTCCATATCTCACCAAACATTTGACCTTCTAATGGAATGAGAGGAAAGGTATATGATTTGTCTGTACTCACCCAACCTATCAGTAGAAACCAGCCATAGATTTTAATTTTTCAATCTAAATTAGGTGGTGTAAAGTTTGAATCTACAACCAACTGATTAAAAGCCGAGCGCTGAACGCTACCTATGGTACTGTAATAAATTTATTGCTACCACAACTTGAGTATTCATGTGGTTAAATTTCGATATCATTTTGAGCACTGTATTTAGTTCACACCTTAAAAACAAAGTGAGTAGGTTGGACAGTTCATATTCTTTATAAACAAATTGGTCTTCAGGCCGCCTCATGTAACAGTGAGCTTTCCAGTTATTCCATAAGTAATATATCAATTTGTTCTAATGGCGTTGTTTGTGACTGACAATCATCATACGCCTTGTTGCTTTCAAATGTTTTTACACTCATACTGATTGTCTTTTTATATTGACCTCTCGTGTTGTGATTGACTGGACAATTTCGTACATGTTGGTAGAAGTAATTTGCTACTACTATGATGATAATGAGAATTTTTGAGGATTATTCAGTTATAATTTTTCATCACACATCCATTTGAGTAAAAGAAACTAGTGGAAATTAGACAGCACAGAACTTCTTTTGAGTCCTAGCTTGGATCTCTTCATTTAGTATATATCCGTCGGTAAAGATGTAGTTGAATGTAAAATCCTCAAGTTTTTCAGTCTACATAACATACACAGACTTTCAGGTTGAAATACAATGGTTCACATTTTTCAAATTCTAACTATTCTTAATATCATCAACATCGCCTAAATAATCATAAGTAATTCAATAATTTTCTATGTTAACCAAGTATTGGAATGAACTCTTATTAGACGCTGAATTGCCAATACTTTCAACAGTAAATTTTATTGTAATAAATAAAATTAAGGGTTTGTATTTATATACAAAAAGTTGATTTCATAGTTTTTACTTAAAACTATTAAATATTTAAGTCCAAAATAAAATGTGGCCTGATATGTTACCAGAATAGCAATCTTATTTAGCAACAGTTCATGTTATACATCTAAAAATCAAGGTTTAAGAAATTGTATAGTAACTAGCAGTGGAATTAAGGAGACACGTTTCATATAATTTAAAACTCAGCTGTGTAAATAGGGACCCTTACAAATAACGCTATTAATGAATAGAATATTTAGTTTGCTTTTCCTAAATTAAATTCGTGACTTCAGTCAGTTAATCAAAACCAATGTAGAATGCGTCACAAATACTTATCGACCCGGTTTACTGCACCAAATCAGTACAATAGGATGAAATTATCAGGACTATTGTCATAATCACCAATACTATTAACATTAATACCTATAATTAATATTCCAAAGTTCATACAAAATCAAATACAGTCAGTCAAAAATAACATCAATATTAAAATATGAATTACTGAATTCTCGTTATATGGGATTGTACTTGTGAGATTGTCAGTTCTCCAAGTTCGTTTCCATTAGATAATACTATTTTTCGTTTGGTTGTCATATACCATGTGAATTAGTTACAAACTGGAATGTTATATAACTGTTCATTACTTTCATGTTCTCACAAATTCTTCAACAAAAGATTATTTTGTTTTGAAGAAAATCTCTCAGTCAATAATTTGAGTAAGTCATTTGACATAAAATATCAAAACAGAATAACTATATTTATTCAGAGTAAAAATTTGCTGAACATTCAATCTATTCAATTTAATAATTGTTAATGTCTAACTCCAGGGTTCGAATGAATGCCGGCTCAGTGGTCTAAATGTTAAGCATTCGTACGCGAGACTGATAATTCCTGGGTTCGATTCTCGCTGGGCGAGATCATGGATAAGCACTACTGAAAAGTCCCATACCAGGATGCTTT